AGTGACAGAAGTGATAGCTGAAAGGGAAAAAAAGAGGAAAGGAATGACAGTACTGGGGGTGGGGGGTGGAGCAATGACTGAAATAGCCATGACTGAAATGGGGGGGGGGAGAGACAGAAACAGAGAGTGGAATGACAGTAGCAGGGGGGAAGGGAGACAGTATCCATGGCTGAAATTGAAAAAGTAGAAAAAGAAAGAGAGAGAATGAAAGCCATGGCTGAAATGGGGAAAAAGAGAGAAAATCAGAGGGAAAAGGAACGACTTTACGGGGTGGGAGTGGAGGAATGACAGTAGCCGTGGCTGAAATGGGGGGTGGGGGAGAGACAGGAACAGAGAGAAGGAATGATAGTATGAGGGTTTGACAGTAGTCATGGCTGAAACTGAAAGAGAGAGAAACAGAGAGAAGGAATGACCGTGGTTTGGGGGGAGGCAATGGTGAGGCAAATGGGATGGCTGCCCATTGCAAATTCCTTGCAGATTCCTACTTGTTGTAACATAATGTTCTGGGATCAGAGTAGGGTGCTAGAGTAAAGCCTTTATTGTCTTCCCGCTTATCAGACTATCACATATCTTGACTCATTTCAATCTTTGAATCTTGCTAAGTAGTAGACAATATCACTTCAAAGTCTCTCCCCCCCTCGCCCCGGAACTCAGAAAAGTCCCTATTGGATTTGTCTGTATTCCCCAGGGCATGCAAGACATAGTTACTCCACCAACCAGGCATTCCACAAATGTAATTTTGTTGGACTCTACCATTAAAGCTGTTAATTTTTGTTGCCAAAATTGTTAGTTTGCTGCTGAGTTTTTAATTGGATTTTATTGAAATTATTATTTCACTAGGAAAAAGGCCCGTTGTGGAAATAAATACAACAATCTCTAGAAAGAGGCTCTGGGCGGGTGCCCCAGCCTTGGACACTCAGTGTCAATTTGCTGTAGCAACCTCAGCAGGGTATAATGACACTGAGTCCACCATTTTCTCCAGAGGAACTGATCTCTGCTACCTAAAGAACAGTTGTAATTTTGAGTGATCTCCAGCCCTTACCTGGAGATTGGCAACGATGGTTCCCCAGAAGGAAATAGTTGGTTTGGAGGGTGGAGTCTATGGCTTTGTACCTGTCCGAGGTCCCACGCCTCCTGAAACCTCACCCTCTCCAGGCTCCATCCCTCACATATCCAGGAATTTCCCACCTGGAGTTGGCAACCCTATCTCCTGCCC